ATTGCTAGATACCTTGATTCTGATGTGCTTAAAATCATATCTGGCTTTCACACTTTGTAATGGAGGAGGCTGTGGGAAGTTTACTGCAACTAACCCTGTATGTACTGCGCTGGCAGATTTGATCAGTTCTAATATAGGCCTAAATTAGTTTGAAGAATGTCTGTTCTAGCAAAAGGGGTTAAAGCCATAGTAACCAATCAGCTTCTCTCCAGTTTACTGAAGCTTTGAAAATGAAAGCTTCTTGGTTGTAATGCATGGCTGCTGCAGGTTCGGTCTGCTCCTGTTTCAATAAATTCCCCTCACTATGTTAATGAGATAGGGACAGACTGAGCTCAGTTCATCCACTTTTGTCTGAAAAATAAAAAAAAGCAAGAAATGTTATTTATATTTAACATTGTGTGTACGGAAAACTTAGTGCGGTTTTTTCAACATTGACTGCAAAACCGCAAGGCAATAAAGTGCAAATTCTACTATAGAGGGTGTAGTGTAACTGCTCCAATACGGCTTTCATACAGAGGGCTGGGATGGGGAATGGTACATCAACTTCAAAGCTTAAAGGGAACCTGTCCCAGGACTATGCATACTAAAGGAATTTAAAGCTGTGCCTTTATTTAAAGCTTTTACTGCCTATGAATATGTAAAATACTTTTAATGTCCTTAATCTAGGCATAGGTGCACTTCCAATGCTGCAAGTCGTATCTTCCTCTAAAAGGGCTTCTTTTTTTTTTTTTAAATAAAAAAGTATGTTTTTGGGAAACTGTTTCACCTCTGGTAACTTACTGCTCATCATTGTGCCATTTCAGGTTATTCTCTTACAATAAAAACTGGTGGACTGGTACTGTGAATGTATGCCAACTTTGACATCAGGCTTTACCACTGCTATATAAATTAGGGCCAGGGTGCTCTTCCAAAAAAAAACCCCACACTTTATATACCCACTTCAACCTCTAGACTGAGGCAGTACTCTGTTATAGATCAGGCCTTCCAAGCCTACCCATGGGAGGAGAAAAAGCGCTGCTGATGTCACAATTCTTTGTCATTCAATTGAGAGAACAAGTGTCAAGATCAAGGGAAGCCTTTACATCATACGTGTCAAACTCAAGGCCCGCGTGCCAGAACCGGCCCACGACAGAATTATCTCTGGCCCGCCTGATAATTATCATTAGATCTGGCCCTGCCCACCGGCGGCTCTCACGCTGCCCGCGGCGATCCTCATGGGATTGATGAGCCGGAGGACTGCACTCCCCAGCAGGCAGCCTGGTAGCAGCACAGCGTGACAAGGGAGGTGTGGCCAATAAGAGAGCCGGGAGAGCTGCAGCCTGCAGGTACTGTGCTGTGACACTGTCAGTCTGTCTATCTCTCCCCCTCTTCTCCACTGTAGAAGTCAAGAATAGGGGGAGTGATATACTGAAAGTAGTATCTGTGACAACTGTGTACCTCATGCCTCCACACTAGTATGTCATCTAATAGTTTGATCTCGATCATGTAAATTATAGTAAAATTTATGTGGGGGGGTGCTCAATGTGAGCGAGCATCCCCCCACACATACCTTTTTTTACTGTAATTTAGAGCTAAAACTATTTTTTCAAACATCTCTAATTGATGATTTTCCTGATCCCCCCACTGATATCTTCCCTGCGCAATGAGGAGAGGAAAGCAGGGGGGAAGAATCCACAGCAGCGGGCACCAAATGGAAAAACTTTTTCGTAAGTAAATTATTTTGTTGTAAATGCACTTTAATGTCTTTTATTATTTAAATATTTAGGCTATTTCTTAAAGGAAAGTAAATCAAAAAGTTAAACTTTTTTTATTGTAAATATGTATCATGCTTTTTTTAATAATTAAATGTACAGGCTTTATTATACCGCATGATATATGGAATATGCCGCTGTATTATACGGTGTGAACCAGCCCTCGACTTGGGAGCATTTTTTAAAATTTGACCCACTGTGGATTCGAGTTTGACACCTCTGCTTTACATAAAGTGTTGACATGTGAAAAAACAAATAAAATACAAAAATGAGTCATTGCTGGCTTTAAAGAGTAGCATATTACTAGTGAGCTATTACTGGGGTTTTTTGTTTTTAATATAAGTTTATTCAACTTCCCTTTTTAAAATTGAATGCACAACAAACATTAACAGTATTTTCATGTTAGTGCCGTGATTTGAGAACACATTCACTACCTGTTTTCAGGTCACAGCAGCTTATGGTTTATAGATCTACACATTGTATACAAGTCTATGGTCATTTATGCGTCACATTAGTGCAGCCCTTATTTTAAGATTAGTTACTAGTAGATTAACCATGGTCTGACAGAGCTTTAAATCAACACCAATGCCAAACAGAAAATGTTAGCCAAACCACAAGTGCATCGATTTTAGGAGATCATGCACCGTGTTGCTAGTACTAAATGGCTACTGTACTACTGCTTTTATATTGTTTCATGGGGTAAACTAGAAAGCAGCACCATTGTTATCCAGCAGCAGGTACAACAGATTATAAATATAGGAGGATTCTTAGAGGTAGAAATCATGTCATAACACAAGTTCCTCCCGCTGGGTAATATTAACCCCTTTGTGATGGGAGACGTACACTGTACATCCCGTCACACTCGCCACGTATACTGTACGTGGAGTTATTTAAGGCTCTGTAATGCTGGTAACCGCTGATTCTCAGCAGTTACCAGTCATTAAGGAATGTCTCAGTATTGAGGCATTAATGAAATAGTTAAGCTTTTGTAAAAGCTTCCTTTCATTAATGAAAGAATGAAGCAGTTACATGCAAATACGGGAGCGCTAAATAGCGATCCAGTATTTGACAGCTATTTGTTTTGACAGCTCGATAGCCCGATGTTTATGATACATTTCAGGCACAGAGATACAATGTATCACTTCTGATCGTCTAGGCACCAAACACCTTTAGTGAGATCTGAATCAGACATGCTGTCAAGATCAGTCTCTAAGGCCTGGTTCCCACCTGGGTGTTTAACAGCACGTTCCTACGCTGTGTAAAGCGCTCAACATGTGAAAACCAATAATTGCCTATGGGCATGGTTCCCACCTGGGTGTTTTACAGCAGTACAGGAGCTTCTTTGGGGCGTATTTGCCGCGCGTATCCATTGGGATACAGCCAGGAAGCCATTGGAAATGTGCGTTTGTCACGCGTTTAACCCCGAATCGCGGCATGAAACACGCAACAAACGCGCATATTCGATATGCCTAAGTGTGAACCCAGCCTTAGGTTATTATTAGCTTTTCCTAAGTTTGGAGTAGCCCAATAGCCCCCCCAAAAAAAAGCTAATCAAGCAGTCATAGTGACTGACAAATTGTAAAAAAAAAAGTGTAACAAAAAATTGTGTAAAATAATATTTTTATACTATACTTAAAAAAATTCTAAAAAAAAAAAAATATCAAAACTTGTGAAAAGTGTTTAGTTTTTCCTCTTTTTTATATTTTATTAAAAGTGAGGCGTTAGTGCTATATTATATCAAACGTGTGTACCTATCTGTCCTCTAAAAAACAATATATAATGTGTGGTTACATTTAGTAAGAAAGTATATTACTGCTGTGGAAGAATCACAGCAAAAATGTAAAAAGTGTAATTTATGAACAGACTGAAAACGAGCTCAGTCATGAAGGGGTTAAAGGAGAACTATGGTGTCAGGGCTTTTCCCCATAGTTCTCCTTAGGGTAACAGGATGACACAAACTGGCGTCCTCCCGTCACCCTAGGCTCAGTATACCGCGAGCTACAGCTCACGGTATACTGAGACGCCGCAGCGGATCCCGACATCGATGTCGAGATCCGCCCAGCTGCGTGAGTGACAGCTGGCTCTGCCTATCTAGAGGCAGAGCCAGCTGTACCACGCCCCCCCCACGGCAGAGAGCCGTGACAAGATCGAGAGGTGAGCGAACCTGGTATGTGTTCGCTCACCTCCCGATCTACTGAGCCGACCTGTGACAGTCTCATTGTCACAGGTCGGCTAGAACTATGAGGTGAGTGAAAAGCACTCCTCATAGTTCTCCTTTAAGGTTACACTTCCCATCCTTGGAAGACCCCAGACCTGAGAGTAATACAGACTCAAGGATCAGTGACCAGGAACTAATAAAATAAATATACTGTACATGTGGCTCAAACAAGTTTCTTTATTAGGAAATAAAAAAAGGCTGGTTAACATTTAAAGTGACAACTTTGGCATGTCCCAATTCTGGTATCTCTTGTTAGTGGTAATTATGTCTTTCATGACATAAAACAAAAATAAAAGTTATGTAACGCCATAAGGAAGTGTATTGGTATGTCTAGAGAAGCATGCTTCCTTTATTTTTCAATTACCATGCAAACACTACAGACGTAAATCCATCTTCATTGCTGTGGAAGACATGGGCAGTACACTGATCGATGCAAGTTTCAGGAAGTGAAAAGACAACAGTTAAAATAATGGCTTTAATTTCATTTAAAGAATACAGTACAGAAATAAAATGTGCTTTAATTAAATGTACATCAAACCAGTGATGCTGGTAAATTCAAAGGGAGACCTTTCCAATATTAATAGCTATACAAGTGTGGACCTGACGTTAAAAGAAAATCCCTTTAAAAAACAGAAAAAAATAAAAGTTCACAGTGGTTTGTATAAACAAGATGCAAAATTATAGCGGTGACATTCCTAGTCTGACCAGCCTGCGAGTGCCATCTTTAAGTACTAAAGTAGTAAACGAGCATTTACAAATAATGTGAATTGTACAAAGCTACATGAATAATGAAGATACAGATTGGAGTGTACAGAAACACTGGCATAAAAAGGAAACCATATTGAAGCAACAGAACAGGTTTGAATTTCAGATTGAAAAGAAAAAACAGAATAGTAAAGCATCGTAGCAAATACAATTCTTTAAGAAGAAAAAAAAAAAAAAAGAGCCACCAACATCTAAATGGATGAACGGACCAGTACAAGTTACACAGTTTAAAATAAAAAAGCGATTATATACTATAATACAAGTCCAAGCAGGCCCAGAGAACCTCATTTTTTTGCCTGTTTTGTGACCATGCCTCGTGGTGGTGTTACGGGTCGGCTTGCATTGGGCTTCTTTTTCTCTGCGGGTTTTAGAATCTAGGGGAGAAAAAAATAAAATGACAGGTTTAAAGCGAACCAATCCGACCATTCCATGCAAGTAATGCACATGTGCACCATCTCACAACTGAACAAGCTGGAATCACCACACAGAGCTCAAGGATAGTTCAAGCAAAACATTAGACAACTTAAGACTTAAATCAAAGCGCCCCCCACACCAATGCACACACACTTTGTCAATTATATTCCAGAAAATATAGGTTTGAAAAGCAAATTGCAACTACCACATTTTTGTTGGATATTTGCATTGTTTACTCTACAGGGCTTTACGATTATTATAGGTTTTTGTGGTTTAAATACTCTTAAGGCCAAAAACGCACAGCATAAGGAAAATGAAAATTAGTCCAGCAGCAAAAAGGGTTCATCATACCTGGAAGGAGCACATTAAGGTTTCATCTACACTCATCATTGCTCCAGCATTGTCAAACTCTCCACAGTAGTTGGGGGCCGAGAAGAGCGTTACCAATTGGCGTTTGGCAAAAAATTCATATCCATCTTCAACTACCTAGAATGGGGAGAAAAAAAAAAGGGAAAGATTGTAAAGTTTATTTAGAAGATCCAAGCACAGACTAAACAGTCATACATTTCTACTTTACATTAAAGCCAAACTCTGGGCACAATTAAAATCACATGTGTTAAAGCAGCAAGATCATTTGCTTAAAAGCCACCCCCTGCTATGAGCATCACTTTAGGTCACATCTGACTCCCTGTCCATTCACAAAAAGCCCCCCCCCCCTTGTTTTGTGGATGGCCAGGAGGAGAGGGAGGGTGGAGATGTAACAGAAGCGCTGAGGTCTGTAAACTTGCACCCACATGTAAACCAGAAGGGTTTGTAGGATGTAAAAGATTGTAGTCATTGCAGGTGGTGGCTTTTGCATTAGCAGTTTACCGCTTTAACATTTGGACGTTTGTGCCTGGAGTTGGGTTTTAACCCCTTTGTGACTGACGTACAGTGTACGTCGCCAGCATCGGGGCTGTTTAAACAGACTCCTGGCAGCTTTTGCCACCGGGACTCTGTTTAAACTTGCGATTGTTGGCTTTACAACAGAAGCGATTCTGGAAACTTACCTGTCGCCAGATCGCTTCTGTGCCCCGTAGAAGGGGCCGCCCCAGCCGGACACCGCCGCCGTTCTTCCCGGGCTCCGTTGCCCCTCCTACGGGACCGGCTTCCTTAGTGTCGGCGGGGAGGAGAAATCGACGAACTTCCGTTCATCGTTCCCCGTTCTATGGGACCAGGAGCGATGCAGATTGCATCACTTCCGGTACTGAAAACAACAAACGCGCTACACATGTTGGGTATCTCTGCGCACGCCGGAGTGAGAGCAATAATTCTAAGGCATCTCTAAATTGATGACCTGTGGGGGCTTCTAAAGCATCTTCTATGGACTTTTTGGGGTACTGCAGTTTTTCGCCGTTTCACGGACGCACGCAATTTGTAACCTGGGCATGTTGGGTATTTTACTCGTTGTAACCTCATCTTTTACATTTCATAAAAAAAAAAAAAATGGGTATTTTGTTGTGTTTTGGGGCATTTAATTAAATTTTTCACTAAATGTTGGGATTTAATAAGGAGTTGCGCTAATATTGCACAACATAAAAATGTGCAACTACCACCATTTTATTCTATAGGGTCTTGGCATTCAGAAAATATAATGTTTGGGGATTAAGTCATTTTCAGGCCTAAAATGTGGAATATAACATGGGTGCAAAAAATGAAAAAAGGACAGTCATGAAGGGGTTAAAGCAGAACTGTGCCCAAACAATACGGGTGGGGGGGGGAGGTTGGGCATTCAAACTTTTTCTGCATCTAGTGTCAGTCACTGTAACTTTGCTCAGACATGCAATGCACAGCCCACTTAATGTTCTTTCAGGTAGACCTTGACATGAATCAGTAGGGCATGAATGACCTTCCACAAAAATGTAATGTTCCCCTATGCGACTAGTTCTGGAGCAACAGATCCTGCCACCAAAAAGGTAGCTAGGTATTTTACTCTTTCAATTAAAGTAAAGGGTTTCCCGATTGCTAGTGTAGCACTGTTGCCAGCAGCAGCTTAGTCCAGCCAAACTAAGCCACATTAAAGCCCTCGGGGCACAGGGAGCTTGTTGACGCGAGTCATTTAATCATAATTCCTAATGCACTATTGGAGAAAAAGTTGTAAAATGGTAATTGGGCACTATTCAGGAATCAAGCAAAAAGATTTACATTAAAATTCCTGTTAGTAATCCCAAATACATACATACACGCCAACATCCCTAGACATTGCAACTTTAACAAGCAGCCTTACATTCAGTGCTCCGAGTATGCACAAATAAAAAAAAAATAAAAAAAAAAAAAAAAAAGGGGGGGGGGGGGAAATACATTTAATGATGTAAAAAAAATGGATTCAGTAAAGATGATAAAGTTCAAA